CTCAGATTCTTTCCTATTCTTCATGTTTCGAAAGATTACATATTTATTTATTTTTCAAATTTCTAGTTTGGAAAACCCGTGAAGCGGGACCGCCATTGAATATTTCGAAGCTGATTTTTGTTTGGTGATGCATCAATTCGTTTGGTTTCTTGTTTAGAATTCATCTCACAGTGTTGAAATTGGTTCACTGTCAATGTGTTGCAGGGCATTTATATTATTTTTGTTTTCGGTGAAGGTTTTGGGGGAAACCAAGTAATCTGGTGGAATAAAAGGAGATAAAATCATTTATTGATTTCTATCAGCTTTGTTTCTGATTTTTACTGCAACCGTAACAGAAGTCAAGATACAGCGACAAGGTTCAGGGGGCGACTTGCCCCATAGTGGCGAGTTTAACCCTTTCCCAGTGGCACGAAGGGTGAACTCCTTCCAAGCGATCACGATGGATAATGATGTGGAGGGTGGGAATCTGGGGCCTTATCAGGAAAAGCCGAGGACATTCCCGAACATGCGTACTAAACCTTACACACCTCTTGTGAGTGCATTAATTGTATAGGTTCTTTAAGCAAAACATATGGTGTAATGTTTACCTTACCTTTCCGCAGATTAGCTCAATCTGAACCTCTGTTGTTTGAACTTTGAATCCCATATGGTGAATTATATGTTTGTTTTCATCATTTGAAGCCCATATAGATGTCAAGGAACCTTTTAATCCACAAGTAATGTCTCAAATATTTAGTTCATGCTGTGACTGTCAAACTACTAGGATATAAAGAATTCATTATCTGTTGTTCTAGCTTGATTGAAACATCCCCAGATAAGGAATTTAGGATAATTATTTTTTTTCAGTCTGGCTATTTTGTTTTCAGATTTAAAGACATGCCTCTATTGGTCGTACATAATGCTTTCTCAAGGGTTTCATTCCTCGACCACAAAGGAATAAATGAACAAACCTGTAGATAGGAAAGTATTTGATATAAAATACACATGCGCATGCAAGACACGCATATTCTTATTTTCAGTAGAATGTTATATTATGGAATGGGATTAGTTTTCATGAATGAGCTGGAGAAACTTCACATTCTGTAATCATATGTTCAGTCATCCATCTCAATTGAAGTGATTGTGATATCTGGTTTAAGATCTTAGCTTTAAACTTCATTTGTTTTTAAGCAGGATTTGAAGTGGCCTTTTTATTTTCTTCCCCTATAATTTCTTTTCTTTACAGCACTTTAATTCGTGTTTCCTGTCCTCATTATGTCCGTATACGGATTCCAAAATGCGTTACACAGATCTTCCACCTAATTATGAGAATAAATATTCGTGTTCTTATGGTGCTCCTGCTTGTTGGAGTCTGTGCTCTGGTCTACATTGGTGCTAGTACATCACCAATTATTGTGTTTGTATACTCGGTATGCGTTATCAGCTTTCTCGTGTCTATATATCTCACGAAGTGGGTACTCGCTAAGGATGAGGGGCCCCCTGAGATGGTGCAGGTACATTTTTTCTTGTTTTGGTACTTTTACCATTTTGTTTTCATTTGATATACACTTTCTGTCTGTTGTTCTTCCCATTTTCAATATTCATGTGATGTGACTGCATTGGTTACATTTTCCCCAAATGAGTCGGTCTTATAAAAGCCTTAGTTTTGCATCTTCGTTGTGGCTGCGAGGTACAACAATTTATACTTGTCATTGTGTGGGCAAGAATATCATGTATCACTTCAGGAATATATAGTTTATAGTTTATACCTTTATGAGGGAGTTTTGAAATATTTATGTCGCATTAGTTGGAATACTGTTGGAGTTCCTGGCTGGTGGTCTCGTTTAGGTTGATGCCTTATATTTTCTTTTACATTTTCCTGCTCAGCGGAACTTAAAGAAATTAATAGAATTCTGTCATTTTTGTTTGTTATGTTTAAAAGATTTTCTGTTTGTTTCAATTTTCACACCGTACTGTTACATTTCCCAGATATCAGATGCTATACGTGATGGTGCTGAAGGTTTCTTTCGGACCCAATATGGAACTATCTCAAAGATGGCTGTTTTACTTGGACTAGTTATTCTTAGCATATATCTGTTTCGCAGTACAACTCCTCAGCAAGAATCTTCTGGTCTGGGAAGGTAATCATAGATATTTTCATATTCAATTTTGGTGTATGTATTTTCTGTCCTATCCAACACCACAAACAAGCTGCAACTTGGCCTACATTTGCCATAATTCATAAAAATATATAATGTGTTCTGCCTTTGTTTGGATGCAGGGCAACATCAGCTTATATTACTGTTGCTTCTTTTCTTCTTGGGGCTCTATGTTCTGGTGTTGCTGGCTATGTAGGGATGTGGGTTTCAGTACGTGCTAATGTTCGAGTTTCAAGTGCAGCAAGAAGATCTGCAAGAGAGGCATTACAGGTTTCCTTTCATTGGATTTATATCTGACTAATATTCAACTGGAAATGCATTAGACTTCCTGAGCTGGCCTAGCTCTTTTGCAGATTGCTGTTCGCGCTGGTGGCTTTTCTGCTTTGGTAGTTGTTGGAATGGCTGTCATTGGTATTGCTATTCTTTATGCGACCTTCTACGTCTGGTTGGGGGTCGATTCGCCTGGTGCCATGAAGGTTACCGACTGTAAGCTTCTGCTACCACCTTAAGAAACTCAGAAATAAGTATTCCTTTTCCTTATAGGACAGCAAGTCTACATCTATCTGACGTCTGTTGCTTGACTCTTCTTTTTTATCTTACAGTACCTCTTCTTCTTGTTGGATATGGTTTTGGGGCCTCATTCGTTGCACTTTTTGCCCAGTTGGGCGGTGGGATATATACAAAAGCAGCTGATGTTGGAGCTGACCTCGTTGGAAAAGTGGAGCAAGGTATTCCTGAAGACGATCCACGAAATCCTGCTGTCATTGCCGATTTGGTAAGAGGCCTATTCAAGCTCTGTAGGTTTTTGGAGCTAGAAGGTGGTCTTGTATGTGGAACGCAGATATTAATATGGTGAAAAGTAACTTTTTGGGTCCTCATTTCTATAAGAATTAATAGCGTGTCTTCCGTACCTTATAGTTATAGGATATATTATTCTGCTTATTTTGTTTTTTTTTTGTTTTTTTGTTTTTTTTTTTTTTTTTTTTTTTTTAAATTCTGATGTAAATTCATCATATCAAATTTAAGGTTGGCGACAATGTCGGTGACTGTGCTGCGCGAGGTGCTGATCTGTTTGAAAGTATTGCTGCAGAAATTATTAGTGCAATGATTCTAGGTGGAACAATGGCTCAACGGTGTAAGATTGAAGGTATGTTTTCGATCTTTAGTGTATACTCAAGTATTTTTTTTTTTTTTTTTTTTCTCTGGTAATTTTCTCAAACATGTCTTTTTGCACAAAATGGTATTGTATTCGTCTACGTTTCACAGTTTTGATTTCAACTTCCTCTATATTCTTGCTAAAATCTAGTTTAATTGGTAGACTTTCGCATACATGTCTGGTATTTTATGTTGTTGCCATTTTCTTAATCCCACAATCTAATCATGAAAATTTTGTCTCCTAGAAGTGTCTGAATTGTCTGGAAAATTTGAACGGTTAGCCATTCCTTATTTTTAGTGGTTATTATCTGAAGATGATATTAACATTAGATCTCTTCACCCCCTCCACCCCTCCTATCTTTCACCCCCCGCGCATCCCCACATGTAGGAATGTTCTTTACATTGATGATTATTATTTGTTACTGGCTTTTGTCCTATTAATAACAGTGATTACATTTGTTCTCTTGGATTTTAATATGTCGTGTATCTATTTGTGATTTCTTCGCTTACTTTCCTAGCCATGATGATATAATCAGATGGTGATGTGGGAAATTCTCACTTCAGCATTCTGTTATCTTGCTGAATAAAATAATTTATCATCTACATGCAGATCCATCGGGTTTCATTTTGTTTCCTCTTGTTGTCCACTCATTTGACCTGATAATATCATCGATTGGAATCTTTTCCATTCGAAATACTCGCGACTCTGGAAAGATTGGGGTTATAGAGGACCCAATGACAATACTTCAGAAAGGGTATTCCGTGACGATACTTTTAGCTGTTCTGACATTTGGTGTGGTAAGAAGTTTGTCTTTTCTTGGACAATCACTTTGTAGTATGTAGACTCAGGAAACCTTGCTGTAAGCATTATATTGATAACACTATGTATTCCTTGTTTTTATCGTGATGCTTCCATTACTTAGTGGTGATGGCTTGGTTTTGTTTTGCAGTCCACACGCTGGATGTTGTATACTGAACAAGCACCTTCTGCTTGGTTGAACTTTGCTTTATGTGGTTTGGTTGGTATTATGACGGCGTATATCTTTGTGTGGATAACAAAATACTACACTGATTACAAGCATGAGCCAGTTCGCTCGTTAGCACTTTCTAGCTCCACCGGACATGGAACTAACATAATTGCTGGAGTTAGTCTCGGACTTGAGTCGACAGCTCTTCCCGTTCTTGTCATAAGCGTATCAATTATATCTGCATATTGGCTGGGCCATAGTTCAGGACTAGTTGATGAGTCTGGAAGTCCAACTGGTGGGTTGTTTGGGACGGCCGTTGCAACAATGGGGATGCTCAGCACAGCAGCTTATGTACTCACAATGGATATGTTTGGCCCTATTGCTGATAATGCTGGTGGAATTGTTGAAATGAGTCAGCAGGTATATTTTGGATAATCCCAAATTTGTTTTTAAATACGCCAGGACTTTTTATTTTTTATTTTTTTCATGTGATGCATCTCCTTGGCAGCCTGAAAGTGTGCGTGAAATTACTGACGTACTTGATGCGGTTGGTAATACTACGAAAGCTACTACCAAAGGCTTTGCAATTGGATCTGCTGCACTTGCATCTTTTCTTCTGTTCAGTGCTTACATGGATGAAGTAGCTTCCTTTGCCCATGTACCCTTCAATCAGGTACGCAGACTGAAAACTTGTAATATTAAAAATCTCGGTTCCTTTTGACTTTCTGCTTCTTGCATGCTGCCTGTAAGTTTGACTTCATGAATATTGTTTTGCAGGTTGACATTGCCATCCCTGAAGTGTTTGTCGGTGGATTATTGGGATCTATGCTTATATTTCTGTTCAGTGCATGGGCTTGTGCAGCTGTTGGCAGAAGTGCTCAGGAGGTAGTTAATGAAGTAAGAAGACAGTTCATCGAGAGGCCAGGAATTATGGTTAGTATTTTGATTGACTTTTTTAGGGTTTAGTGGCATATATTTGGATTGTCCAACAACAAGGCGTGTAATATTGATCGTGTGTTTCAGGATTATAAGGAGAAACCTGATTATGGTCGTTGTGTATCTATTGTTGCATCCGCGTCTCTAAGGGAGATGATTAAGCCTGGAGCATTGGCCATTATATCACCCATAGTTGTTGGTAATTCTTTTCTTTTCACCTTTTATTATTTATTTATTTATTTATTTTATTTTTTTTCTGAATAGATGATTAAAATTTTGCATTAGAAATAATATGTTCTGCACTACTGTTTTTGGAGGAGAATGATCATAATAACACTGTGTGGTGTGCATCTTTCAAAATATGAACATTGTTGAAGCCAGTCTTGCATTAATGAGATGATTTTTTTTTTCTCAAATGTAACTGCCTGTGAGTGCTGATCTTATAACTAAACTTTATTCATTGGATGATATATAATGCAGCTTGAGTAGTAAAGTCTTGTGCTGGATGATTAAATTTTTCTTGCAAGTCTTGGTATTTTGTTCGTATTGAGGATTTGCATGCCTGAAAGAGCAAGAACCTACTTCCACATAATTTTGTATGTGCGGATCTGCTTTTCCATATCGGAAGATTTACCTTCTGCACTAAATGTGGAACAAGTGTTCTGATACTAATAGACATTTTGATTTAGTTCATCGAATTGTTACTTTCTGTCCAAAGCCCGGCCATCATCTGCAAACATTAATAATTTTCTACGTTATGCTTAATGTAACGATAAAAAACTTTTTAATCTTTAATTTTTTGGGTAGGTTTTCTGTTCCGGGTGCTCGGCTACTATACAGGTCATCCTCTGCTTGGGGCAAAAGTTGTGGCTGCCATGTTGATGTTTGCTACTGTTTCGGGCATCTTAATGGCCCTATTTCTAAACACTGCTGGAGGTGCCTGGGATAATGCTAAGAAGTACATCGAGACAGGCGCTCTTGGAGGCAAAGGGAGTGATTGTCACAAAGCAGCAGTTACTGGCGACACGTAAGTGATAAATAGTAAATACTACTTTTGTAAAAAAAAAAAATTTGTGGCCTCACATGTTTCTAAATACTATTGCACTGTGTTGGACTCTAGCGGATAACTGATAGCTGATAGTTGATTGAATTAACAACTTTGACTGACTGGTTGGATTCGCTGATTTTGTAGAAGTGTTCGGTAAATAATTTGCGGTATGATATGCTATTCCAAAAGAAATCTTATGTTGATCCCTTTCGAAATTAGTTTTTTTGGATTAAAAAAAAGCTATTTCAAACTTTTACTTGTCAAACTATAAGATTCATGGTTCTTCACGTGTCAAACCTCTCTCATTTGGCCCCAGAACTCTTATTATCGAAGAAGGCCTTATATCTCAAGTGTCATTGTTATATAGAGGAATCCACACTGGTCTTGTATATGTTTCATTTTCTCATTATATTCAGCATTTTCTTTTACAATTAATTTGCAGCGTGGGCGACCCGTTTAAAGACACTGCAGGTCCATCCCTTCATGTTCTCATCAAAATGTTGGCTACAATAACTCTGGTGATGGCTCCTGTGTTTCTGTGAATGTTTTGTCGGGCATCGAATGGCGCACCCTTTTTTACGCGGATCAACTTACTCATACTTGCATATACAAATGAGTGTGCTTTGCTGTAACTAAAGTTATTAGTAACATCCTTTTTTCCCCTTTCCTTTTTTGTTGTTGTTTGGATTTTATTTTATTTGGAAAGGAGATTTTAGTGTTAGTTTGCTTTGTGACTGATTGATAGTTGACATTGTCTGCATTACTATTTAAGTTGGGCTGATTTTGGACCTTTTTTTTTTTTTTTTTTTGATGAGGAAGACCAACAAATAAACAAGTGATGATGGATTCTCCTGAGCTCTATTAGTAGGGAATAATATCATTTAAAAAACTTAATTGGTTAAATTTTTTATTTTGTAGAAATATTATATTAAATGTTATTACATTATTATTATTATTATTATTTTGTAACATAAAAATATCATAGGACATGTATCAATTATTGTCTCTCAGCCACTCCTCAAATAAGGTTACAAAATCAAGTCAATCAGATAACACCGAGAAGAAAAATGTGAGTTCAAGCTTCTGATACTCGAGTTCAGGCTTGGCTTGTTTACTAATGAACCAATAAACAGATGAGAGTTTTCTAGCAGAGTCATAACAATAGAGACTCAAATGTTCTACAACCCTGAAGCTTTAGGGAAAACTACCATAATACATGTTAAAACGGTACATTCAACAACCGAGAGGATAATTATTATAGAAAGCCCAACACTCACAAACGCATGAATCTTCGCAGAGCAAACGCATTTTAGGACATGCTGCAGCATGCGAAATCGAAGGCACAGAAAGATCACTGGGTGGTATATCATATCATAACACATGTCTAGATAAATTAACCAAATGTCATAATACATTGAACAGAATGACACCAGATATATAAATCTCAAAACCAAATGATTATGCCCAAAAATAGAGATACATGTAACTGAGAGTTTTTCATTTTTTACCGAGGTCTCGCCTGTAATACAGAGACTTCACCACTCCAGCTACAACTAGCGATAACGTCGTGCAAGACTGGATGGAACACAATATCTATGCATGCTTGCTCGTACACCTTAACCTTTTTGAGAAATTTGGATGATTTCGAGTCGAAATAGTATATGCATCCATCAGAGGATCCAGAGGCCACCATATTTCCATCCGGACTGAAATTGCACTTGATGGGGAAGCCTGATACACTGTGACTTTCGTATCTCTTATACTTGTCAAGTTTGAATGGGGGTCTTGTTGAGAATATAGCAATGTAGTTTCCATTGGATTGAGCAATGAAGTATGGCTCAAATGGGTGGCATCTGATGCAGGGGCACGTGAATGCTTCAGCATAGACCTGTAATACATGCGTTTACAGTTAAGAGTTGTTTCATTCAGTGTAGAGGTTATCACATTAATAGCCAACTACATCAGCAACAAAATAAGCATGCATAATTGCATGTCATCTCATTGATGATAAAATAACAGAAATACTATGATGTCCTGATTGGTCATATAATGATACAGCAGTATTTCAATTTGGGATATAAAAACGATAAAATGATGCTCATCCTGAATGGTCACATATAAAATTACACATCAGTACTGTGAGATCCTCAGAGCTCGTCCTTTTTAGAACTTAGATAGTCACATATAATTACACCTCAGTACTGTGAGATCCTCAGTGCTCGTCCTTGTTAGAACAGATAACCAATGGCCGTGTTGAAATTTATGAAGAACATGTTGGACAAATGTGCCCTTTCATGTATCTTAAAAATTACAACAATATGATAAAAATACTATAGGCTTTATTAGATTCAACTTGATAAATTCCTGGTAGTTGCCACACCACATAAAAAAAACCTTGTCAGAGTGTAAAACCGTAATATAGACACTCAATTTGACACTCTGGAAAACAGTTCTGCATAGCTCAAGTAAAATATCCATCTACACAAATTTCATCATCTGAAATTGCTCTTGTACTCAGTAGCTAAATATCTTTCTGTAACAGAAAGCAGAAACTCCAAGCCTAAACTATTAATTGATTGATTTTAATCTTTAACAAATCAGAAAGAGGTGAAGAAAGTAGATCATATATAATATGATAAAACAGATACTTCAAGTTTCACCCTCTCATGCCAGGAACATAGAAAATCAAATTTAAAATTACCTGATTGGATAACGGAACTTGACGTGAAACATCCCATACAATAATCGAGTTCTCGCTAAGGTTGGTTTGGGATACATCACTCGAGGTGATTAAATATTTGCCATCAACCGTGAAATCCACGTCAAGAATTGGCCCAAGGTTTCGTACATATTCATGGACCACCATGCCAGTCCTGATATCCCACAGTTTAAGTTGACCTTTTGACCCCCCAGAGAGAAAGAGATTATAGTTGTCTGGACAAAATTTGACAACTTCTACAATTTGATTCTCCTTGAAAACCTTAATCTCCATTCCCTTTTCAACATCAACTAACCGTGAAGTGCAATCATAACCACAAGATAGAAAAGATAATCCGTGTTCTGACCATTTCACATCTTTAACTGCCGCGTGGTGATTATTGAACGCACTTGCTTGCTTCTGACCTGTGCTCCATACATTCCAGATACGAACAGTATGATCCATTCCGGCAGATGCTAGAAGATGAGCTGGAAACTAAGTCCATCAAACACATCAAAATTCATAGTGTGACAAATATCATGGACTGTTCAAACATAATGCTGCAGAAGACAAATACTCAAAGAAAGGGAAAACAAATGGAACCTCAAAAACTCCAATATTAAATGCTCGTAAACTATTCTTGAAAAACATAATGCATAAGAAACAGCAAATTCAATCCCGAAGATCATTCTTGCTTGTAAATTGCTTCTCAACAAGTAAAATAACTTTTTGAAAGAAAATACCTTAATAAATAACTATAAACAGAAACACTTCTGATATTATCCAATATGCATCTTTGGTTTGCAACTACATCTTTCATGTTCACCCCTTCATCCAGTAATAGTTCTTAGCTTGAGTCAATTATGCCAATCGTTTTGAATGGATACACTATTGAGATTGACTCTCGATCTCACAACAACCTCAAATAAACTATCGTCCGAAAAAAAAAGCAGAACATACAGAACAAATGGATGTATGATACAAGCAACAACACATCAGTCCTCAAGGCATACAATGTCGTAGCAATACAAAATACAGCTAAAAAAATGATCCTTATCAAATATTACGATTTTATCGTTTTCACTTGACATTAATCAAATAGTACAAGCTGTGCAGAGCTGTAAGTGCTTACCATGAGATTTAGACCACTGCAATGAATTAACAGCCTTCGTATGGCCTCTGAGATCTGCAGAAAGTGACTGAGGAGTTTGGTTGGACACTACGACGTTCTTCGAGCGGCGCCTCAAGGCAGTAAAAACACATTGAGGTAAATCTGAATCGGAAAGGCTTCCTACAACTGTAATATGCAGTGAAGAATGTCAACACTACTATCAAAATTTCAACAGTTTCTGAAGAGGAACATCTTCTTCACATTACCTTAAAACTGTAATTTGAATGTAAACAACACTGCTAAATTTCACAGTTTCAAAAGAGGAACAACATCTTCACATCACATTACAATTAAAAAGAAAAAGTAAATCAGAGCGTAGGATTGAACCTGGAGACGGGTCGGCATGAGTCGGGTTCGGTTCGGACAGTGTCGGATCGGAAACCAAAGAAGCTCTTTGTCGCTTAGATATGTAGCTCCCGGGTATCGGAGCTTCGGCAGGGAAACTCGGAAGGCGAAAAACGGGCATTTGTGAGGAATTTGGGAATGAAGTAGAGCCTCGGACGCGTTTGGGAGGCGGTGGAGGATGCGAGTGTCGGGATCCTGCTCCGGCGACGCCACCGTCTCCGTCTTCGTCGTCGGAAGCGGCTGCGTAGGCTTTGGAAAGGAGATCCATTTCAGGGGTATGGGCTCGATTTCTATCGACGGCTGACATATCAGGTTTTCACCTGGGCCCGCGGTCTACATTTCTTAATTGGACTCCTTAATAGGCCCATCATTACCAAAAATTAACAACAATCATGCTACACAAACATGATTGATATAAATTCTCCAATATATAATTGCACAATGCATTTCCGGTATATATAATTACAGAATGCGCTGAGCTTAATTGACAGCCTGACACGATTTGGAATCATACTTGGTGAAAAAACATGCTTTGTAGTTTTGTTTGAATGAAAATTAATATTATTCTAAATCAATAATTTTAGGTCCGGACATTCCAAAAATATTAAGAAACTAATTTGGTAATTCCATAATAGTTTGACTAAGTTCTCAATAATATTCTTATCAAGTAATTGTGTTGTACACGAATATTATACTAGTATTGATATAATACAAATGACAGGATCTTGTGATTTTAGGCTAAAGTACACGTATGACTAGATAAAATTTTCATCTCTCCTCGTATAGAAAAATGTGTTATTCTCTTGTAGGGAGATAGTTTGTGCATTCTCTTATGAGGAGTTTTTTATTTTTCTTTTTCGTCTTATGGCGTGTGTTGTAAATTTTAGGCTGCCTAGTGTAGTATCCCTATTCCGACTACTCAGTCGGTTGTAGTTATGTGTCTTAGTTAATGAATCTATCGTTTCGACAAAAAAAAAATAGATAAAATTTTCAAAAATCCACCTAAGCTAGGGATTTCTTTTTTCTTTTTCTTTTTTTTTTGTTTTTTTTT